TGGACTAAAAGGTTCGGTACTGTACTCGACTATTGGCAATACCCATCGATTCAGTGGTGTACCGGCAGAGTTATCACGGGTGCTCGCCATTCTCAATGTGCGCCCGACCTGGGTTCGGATTCCCGGCTGAATCAGCCGCTGGAAGTGCTCCCCGTATTCTTTTTTTTTTTTTGCGGGCTTAATGAGAGAGAGCACTTGCGATATTATATTAGCTTTGGTTTTATTGTGGCACTATCATTGCACTGTACCGCACAGTATAGCACATTACATGTGCAGTCTAGATAGCATTATCCAGTCGAATCCCACCATTGACTGCGCATTCACTCTGACGCAAACACCAATGGCCCCTTGGTCCCCACCATTTCCTCTGAATTCCTGGCTTCCCTTATTCTCAGGGTTGACTTAGCTATTGTTTAAGGCAAGTGAAATAAGGGGATATTTCTCCCTGATTTCTTTCAGCTTTAGTCTCCCTTCAAGCCCTCACGATCGCGCAGGTTGCTGTTGATCGATACCCACGATGCCCAAATGGGCCGTGGGGTGAAGATGTCCTAGCTGAACAAGTGCTTTTTCCCAGTAAAGGAAACAGTCAAAGTTGCCATAACTTATTTGCTCCTCCCCCCGGTTCCCTGAATTGTGGTTGATTGGTGGTAGATCTGCAGGCAGTGCGAGGGCATGAACCCACCCGAGCTCTAATATTCAGGCTCGTCTTGTTTTCCAAGCCTCGAGGGGGGGGGATCCCTGGCATTCTGGTATGGGAGAAATTGCATCTCCCACCATCCGCACAAGGACTCAAACTTGGGCACAAAACTACTGCAGAATGCCGTACCATTCAGTTGGAAGATACATTGCATCAAAGGAGACCTGAATTCGACTTCACAGATGATGGAGTCAGGATGGAGAAATGATTGGTTTTGATGATTAAATTATTCCTGGCTTGCATATTTCTTCCGGCAGCCCCAATCCAAGTTATTATCCACAACATATGGAGTGTCTGGCGCACCATGATTTTTATTCTTATTTGAAGTCAGCCTTGTCAAATTCAGGTCCTATGATTTCAACCAAAATTGGGCTGTCTGGGCTATCCCGGCTGAAATCACAGGACCCCAATTCGCCAAGACTGATTCCAGAATCAAAATCGTGGTGCGCCAAACACGCCTTAGTATTACTGTCCTTATTTCTTATCGGCGGCCACCGCAGATTTCCAACACGTACAATTTTTCGAACAGAAGCCGGGCAGGCCCTACGAGTAAGGCTGCTTAGATAAAAGATGGTTAGGCAAGAGCGATGCTGGAGAAACCAAGTTGGTTTTACACTCCACCCGAGCATGGTACCCTGCCCAGCTCAGGTCCCCGCATCCACGATACCTCACCGCCGGTATTTGACGCTGGGAGCCCATCCAGGATGCCCATGCTCGAGCACACGCTCATTGCCGACTCCCGCTCGAAGCTAGGGTCGGAAGGGTAATACGATGGGGTTACGAGACCCCCGAGCTCCGTATAAAAAACAAAAGGACAGGCAACAAGATGACCTTCCCCTGGAAGGCGAGCCCGGAGCCTAACGAGATCCCAGGGCTGAAAGGGGCCAATGAGAAAAAACGCTGGGGGATAGAAGCTGGAGCGATATGAGATGGTCGACCGCCTACCCCGCCAGTGCCGTGGGGATTCGCCAGCAAGACGACGGAAAAGAGTTCAAAGGACGAGCAGTTGTGTTGGCGTTTAGACAGATGCCCGCCCTTGAGCCCCTTACAAGTGAATGCCGTCGGAGTGCCATGGGGAACATTTCGCAATCGCTGGGCATTCGAGAACTGAACAAGGTTAACGCTCTAGGCCAATCGGATGCCCCGGAAACAAGGGCTTGTTGAGGAATTGGCCTCGGGCGTGCTCGGATCGGTCGGGCTGCCAACTGCCAAGCGACTTTGAGCAGCCAAAAGGACCCTGTCACTGTCGAGCTCCACTTTCCCAACCCCTGCAAAATGACGTTGAACCTTCAGCTATTTGAGCCAGCGATCGGACTACGAGTAACAAAGTTGACTCGCGTTAATCTATTCGAGTGCTAGTGATTGCTTCACACAGTCGTCATAACGCTCAGCGTGATTGATTCTTTCCCGGATTTCGTGATACATGTCTGTTACCCTAACTTTCTTGATGATCGGGATTCCCGAGGTATCATGCAGAGGCATATATCTAGGCTGCGATATCCACCAAGATGTAAAGCACGACAACAAATTATCTCCCCCGGACTTCAAATTCCACGGTCCCTAATAACCAACCCGCGGTAGTCTGCCGCCGCTGGAGGATCTGCATACACAGCTAATCACTCGCGACCCATTGAACCCAAGACCCTCTCAGGAGTTGATTAATTTAATACCCCAAACCTTAAAAACTTCCTCGCCCAAACACCCCAATGGCACAAAGCGATGAAGCCGACAGCGCTCACACAGTGTTTCGCATCATCCAAGTCTTGACACTGATCCCATGCTGGGCGATCCTGGCCGCCCTAATCGACGTCTACAACAAAAACGGCTCCGCCCCACCATCCGGCATTCTCTGCCTCTTCATCACCGCCCTCCTCGCCTCGATATGGTCCTTCTGCGTCCTCATCACCTCCATGCGCGCACGGAATACAGCGCTATGGATGACCTTCTTCGACATCTGCTTCATGGCGGCACTCATCGCGGGCGTGGCCCTCCTCTCCAACATCGCCAACGCCGAATGTGTCGTCGCCCCCGTCGCCACCGTGATATACACAACGGACGGCCAGAAGGTTTGGCAATCCGGGGGGAATAAAAATGGCACGGATGATGGCATCTGGCATAACGACGATAATTGCTCTCTCGTAAAGGCGGCGTGGGGTCTCGGCGTCACAAACATCATCCTTTTCTTCATCACCGCTATCCTGGCGGCCGTCGTGTATAGGCGGAATGAAGAGGAGGGCCGTGTAGTGGAGAAGGTCTACACTACTCGTGCTGCGGACCCATACACCCACCGTCCGAGACGTCACCGACATCGCCATCGGAGTCCGAGAACTGGGGAGTACATTGTTGAGGAGAGGGTTTAAGGAGTGTCTGGGGAGGGGGAGAGGGGGCGAGCTTCGTGGGGTCGTTTTTTATTATATCACGCGCAGATTTCCGTGACACCCTATCATCACTCAAAAAGATAAATGCAGATGAGGTCATGACTTCAAACTTTTTTGTTTTACTTACATATACCTTTTCACGTTCCCATGCAACATGCCTTTCACGACCATTTTCACGATTCACCTTCACACCTGTAAGTGATCACCACTTCATGAGAAAAGGCAAGGCATAACAGCACCCCATCGGGCCAGTAATATATTCAAAAGTCCTATAATAATCCCCCCACCTACTCTCAATACTCAGCAACAATACTATGTAGGAATCTCTCCACCACCATTTTATACCTCCTTTTTTTTCCTTTTTTTTTTCTTTCCAAAAAACAAAAAACAAAAAAAACACTAGACTACAGCCTGCCAAAAATACTGCCATAAATCGAACTAGACTCAGTCCCAGGAGGACTCCATGCTACAATTGCGACCCGGACGCAAAGCCGCCACTGCGGCGGGTTTTCGTTGAAGACGACCGACTAGTGCTAGACGCTGGAGCGGAGTGAGTATGATAGTCGGTTGGGCCTTTTTTTCTTTCTTTCCCCTGCTATGATAGGGTATTTCGGGGGTTTGGTGCGATATCCGGGGCCCTCACTGGGTGAGCACGGGGTTCCCGCGAATCGGATGTGGAAAGCTAGCGGGAAGGGAAGGAATAGCGTACCATACTGTACTGTGTATGTAAACTTGATTCGGGGGTGACTGTAGCTAGGATTACGGTAGCCCCAAAGCCCGATACTGCGGTATTCGTGAATGGACACATCCACGCGGTATCAATCCGGGTATCATACCGCGATCCTACCAGCACCGCACAAGTACAGTACAGTACCGGACCCACGCCATACGGGCATCTTCCCACTTCCCTTTCCAAAAAAACACGGCGCCTGGAAACTCCTCCACTTGCCCAACCCACCGTACCCCCCCGCCCTAGCAAAAATGACCCCAACACAAGCAAAAATATCCCAGAGTCAAAAATGATTCAACCGGGAATCGAACCCGGGTCGGGCGCACATCGCGGGATGGCAAGCGCCCATGATACCTCTACACCATTGAATCATTGATATGTTGTAACCCCACCGAGTTTAAGTCGAAAAAGTCGCCTCGTTTTCAGCCAGTATCATATTACCTGGTGGGGCGGATTGCCATCGTCTGTATGATGAGAAAATAGTCTCAGGGGCGGAGGCGGGTTAGAGAGTATATTGAATAGCCTCAGGTTATGGGAAAAAGTGGATACCGGAAGCTATGATATTATACGGTACCCTTCGTGGACACATCTCATATTATCATGCATCGAGTATGATAAAACGCTAGACACCGCGAGCCCTATCGAGCGCTGCTGAGACTCCTCACGTATGATAATCTTCGAACTATGTAATGTCACAACTTCAACAATTTCGCTAGCGTACTAAATACATCGTTATCCGCTTCTCACGATATCCCTACCGGTAGTCATCCACCATGCCATACGGTACGGTACCGTGCAAACTCCATCGCCGAACCATACGCATGAAACCTTTCCTTTTAAAATAGAGGTGGGTTCTACGAATGGATAAGGAGGGTAAAGAAAAAAAAAGAAAGAAGCAGAAGAGTGATTTCTTTGAGTTTGTCCTGTTGAATGAAGCTGTGTTATGAGTTTTATGGTCATCTTTATTTGAGGGATACTGTTTGGCTAACTTGCTCGTGATATTCTTTTTATGTTTTATTTTTTTCATTCTTCATCTTGCGCTTTACCCCTCCACAGGCTTCGAAGATCTGGTACGGTAGCGGCCACCACTACGGTAGCATACTTGTACTTGTAGTCTAGTAAGATATTCTAGCGATAGCCTTCTCGTGTGGGGAATTAGAGAATCAAATATCTCAGCGAGGATTTGTAGACAAAAGCTCTGGTGGCCAAGTTGGTAAGGCGCCACACTAGTAATGTGGAGATCCTCGGTTCAAATCCGAGTCGGAGCATCAAAGTTTTTTTTAATTTTTTTTAATACCTATATATGGGTGCATTTAAGGGAAAAGGATAACAATTGCCAACAACCACAAAACTGGGTGAATGATTCTAAGGCTAGAGTATATGGTAGAGTATCTTCCTAGCTTCTTGAAATATATTTAATTTTAAAATTTGAGCAATAGTGGGTCTGTAATGATTATTTTTGTAATTATGGCAAAATATTTTTTTTACATAGAATGATAGCCTACCTCAAGATCTACCTGCCTGCAAGTTTTGAAATATTTTTAAGAACACAATCTGTTGTTGTTAAAAAGTATAGCAAAATATTAATGTACATTGCATAGTTTTCGGACATTATTAACCTGTTGTAAGAGAACCAAATGCAACCAAGCTTGAGATGAAATATTGGTATATAATTGTACATTTAATATTAGAGCTAGATTGAATAATTAGATCAGGGTTAAGGTACTAGTAGTAGTATACCATATTGCCACCTTATTAAATTTTTTAAGAAACCTATCTATTGATATGTTCTTAGGATTTCTTCAAAAACCATCATCAATTTCCCTTATTGCAAATTACACTTTTCACCTTTTACCTACTTTAAACTATTCTTCTTTTATAATTGTTTTATAATGAGCATGGACATTGATCCTAGTATTGATTCTTCAGACTTTAATTCTGATAGCTCTCTATCAGAGTCTGAGAGTAGTGTTGCAAACACTCAAACTTTGTTTGGTACTGGTAAGTATAAATTGATAATTCTTTGTATTTAAATAGTTGAGATTCTAAAATCAGTTTTTTTTTGCAATAGAAAGTGAAAATGAGGAGCTAGTAGAGATAGCTGAGTGGCACTTAGAATCACTCCTGCAGGCTTGTTCCTGCTCACAAGAATGTATAGGTAAGGCTGAACCAGAATCTTGGAAAAGATGGCTGCTGCATCATAATAAGTTATCAAGAAAGGAGAAGCGAATTATGATAACATATCTCTTATCCCCTCAATTATCAAGCAATATGACCGTCTTGAATGAGTGGAAAATACAACATCAAGATTATCGCAAGCATAAGGGTAATCACAGAAATATCAAGTATGTTCTTCCCTTCGTTGAAACAGTTTGTAGAAATGTTTTTACTACCTTTTGGAACATATCCTTGAAAAGCCTGTATACCTTAATTCACCATCTATATGCAACACAAATGTCTATTCCCAAACAGCATGGAAATTATGGTCATGCACCTCCTAACCAAATATCCAAGGAAGTAATTACTAAGGTAGAAGAATACCTCTTAAGCTTAAAAGAGGAAGAGGGTGAAGCAATTACTACCCGAACCTATAAGCAAAAGCTGACAGATGGGAGAATTACAACCTATATGGAGTTAGAGAATATTGTCCATCTCTCCTTCCATTTATCCTATAACTTTCTATTTCAAAACTATCTTAAGGAAAGAGGATATTCTGAGGATGAAGCTCCTCTTTCATTTTCTTAGTTTTACCAGGTATGGAAGTTCCATTCCAGTTTACATTTTATGAAAATACGTAAAGCATCTAAAAATGTCTATGATGAATGTACAGTTTTACGAAATCTACCAAAGGGACAAAAAAGGTTGCAATCATTGTTTCCTGAGGAATCTGGGACCAATAATTCTTCAATTATAAGTTCTGAGGTAAGTGAAAAAGAGAAACAGTTGCAAACACATAAACAAGAGTACAGAGCATGTCGTACTACATATGAGTCTGATATTGAAGAGGCCAAGGCCTTTGAATTTGAAACAAGTACATTTTCCTTTGACTTTCAGCAAGTTGTTGAAATACCAAAAGTACCACAGCAGCCATTACAGTGGTACTATTGGTCCCCTTTCAAGTTGTATATTTTTGGTATTGTCAATGATGCCATTGATCAACATTATCATATAATGTTTACAGAGGCACAGCAGGGCAAAGGAGCTAACCAAGTTGTATCAATTTTACATTGTTTTTTAACTTCTATTCACAAGCTTATATCAAAGATTAATCTCTGGGTAGATAACTGTGGAGGCCAGAATAAGAATAAAACAATGTTATGGTATCTGTCTTAGCTTGTAGCAACACAGGATATACAAGAAATTGTCTTAAGCTTTCAAATAAAAGGTCATACACAAAATAGTGTAGACAGAGGATTTGGAACTGTGAAGCAAAAAGACAATCGAAATGAGATATGAACTCCAGAGATGTATGCAGCACTTGTTGATACTACTGATAAAGCAGGTAAGATCAAAGCTGTTCGATTCTTTAATGATCCTGCTGGTACAATGTTTCGAGATTGGGAGACCACCTTGAACTCATACTTAAAAGCATTAAAAGGAATTCAAAGTTATCACTTTTTCCGCTTTGCTGCTATAACTCCAGGTATTGTAGAAGTCAAAAGACTTCCACAGGATTATTGGATAAAGATTGATCTAAGGAAAAGAGATTTTCTTCTGGCTAACTTCTTAGATATTAAACCATGTGGGCTCATGGATACTGGCTTGAATCCTGAGAAGCAGTATGATCTCTGGAGCAAATATTCCTCTTATATTCCTCCCCAATATCAAGATTCTTGGTATTACTCTAAGCCTGCTGAAGCACTGGTTTCGGCTGTTTGTGAGAAGAAAAATACAAGAGCAGTAAATGTGAAAGATACAAGACAAGGACTAACTAAAAATTTAGATCAAGGAGAAAGTAGCCAGGTACAAGAATCACTAATTACACCTCCAGCCAAACGGAAACGTGGCCGCCCTCCTGGTTCTAAAAATAAGCCTAAAGCAGTAGATCAAAGTTAATAAATCTATTAATTCTGCTTACTCAGCTATTATAACTTTCCTCAATATATATTAATTTTTGAATTCTCTATTAAAATCTATTAATCAAATTATAATTTAAAATATTTTACATAGAATTATAGAAACAATAATAAGTATTATCTATCTTCTATTTTTATACTATTTAATTTACTGGTTGTTGAGTTGTTTCAATTTCTTTTTCTAAACATATTTTTCCCTTTTTCTCAAGAAGGCTTTGGTTGCCATGCAAACTAAAAGTGAGTATAACTCAAAACACCTAAAAAGCGATTGTACTCTTTTTCCCATAACAACACTCATATATATACATCCACGCCTGATCTACAATCGAATTCCTGAACCCCGACAATTAAGCTGATCGATCACACGACCCATATTGCTCTCCGAAATTATTCCCCCAAAATTCCCGTCAAGCAATACTATTCTTTCTACTTCATTTCTACCTCTACCCCTCGGGAGCTCCTCTCACCATTCTCCCACCTCTTCATTGCCTCCGCAAACTTTTTGACCCCTTCCACTGCGACATCCGCTTCACAATAGCTCACCGCAAGCCTAACACAACGATCGCCCCAGCCAAGCGTGTCGCCAGGGCACTCGCTCTTATCGCCATTGAGCACGATCACGTCCTTTGCAGCAATCTTCGTAATCTCACGGGCGTCGTAATGGTCTGGGAGTATGATCCACAGAAAGAACCCACCCTTGCCACCATAAATGGTAGTTTCTTTTGGAAAGTAGGTCTTGATGGCAGTAATAATCGCGGCGCATCGAACAGTGTAGGTCTTTGTTAGGTTTGAAATCACGCTGTCAATTGAGCGGCTAGTGATAAGGGGGTAGATGAGGGTTGAGGCGAAGTGTGAGGGTGCACCACCCTGGTTATGTGGTTGTTAGTTTAAGGTCGAGGGGCACAGAAGGCGGGGAGGGCGGTGTGAAGGGTAACACATACACTATGGTTCGCACCACCCTCGCCCATTTGTTTTGCTAACACTCCTGTAGCACTCTCGATCCAGCCACATCTTATACCTGGCCCCAGCAGCTTTGAGAACGAGCAATTGGAGACGGTATACCCTGCTTCATTGTCTCCCATGCCCTGCTTCTCGCCAATTTCATGGTCCAAAGTGACAAGCCGAGGCATTAACCTCTCGTCCGGGGTAATGGCAGAGGTATCGCCGCCATTGCCCAGAAAGTCATACACATCGTCGCTGATGACGAGCATATCCCATTTCCTGGCGATCTCAACGACCCTACGGCGGGTCTCCAAGTCCCAAGTCTCCCCAGTAGGGTTCGAGTACGTAGGAACACAATACATAACAAATTTGTAGATACGCTTTGAAACGCCGGCTCTAGAGATTGGCTCCAGACCACTTGGGAGCTGGACGTCTGGGGCAGTGGCGGAGATGCGCTCTAGATGAGCCACCAAAGATTCGGTGTCAATTGTATTTTTGTTAAGTCTTATAGCGGTCAATTTCCCGGAAAACCCAGCGTCTATAACAGTAGCCTTCAGTTGCCACACACGCCCATCCTAATCACAGGTGTAACTGTGGGAAATGCAAACCTTCAAACACACCCGCTGCCAAAAAGTAGGTCGGACTAACCATGAACGCCTGCTTCGTGTACCCAGTTACGGGGCTGGTGCACAGCAAAAGCGTATTCATTAGCCCATACGACGCCCCGGGAGTGATATTAATTCTCTCCCTAGAGTTTAGGCATTCATTAGCCCTACCCCCCGTCTGTAATCCCAGCAGATGGGAGACATACGCAGGAATGGCTTCCTTGAGCCCATATCGCCCAGCAGTCCATCTTCCAATCTCAGCACGCAAGTCCTCGTTCCCCAGATCAGGTCCGTAGTGCAATGGGTGGCGAACCTGGGCGTAGCTATCCTGCGGAAGGTCCGAGCTAAGGACCTTAGCAGCGGACTCGCGTATCAGGTCCGTTGCAAGAAGGCGGGTCGATGGGTGGCCTCGGAGGAGATCAATTGGCTTACGGATGCTAGCAAGCATGTTGGTGTGCACACCGGTGCGATAGTTAGCCCTTTGTCTCAGATTAGCGTAAGGTCGGGGCGGAGGGTACGATAAGGATTACTAGATTCGAGTCCGGTTAATGACGCAGGAAAGGAGAGGCCAGATTCCCCTCTTCTCGGGTCTTCTGCGAGCAGGAGTGGAGCCTAGAATTGTCGGTGAAGGGAAGTAGGGGACGG